CGATTTTGTTATCGACTTTGTAATCGATTTTGTAATCAAGTTTGTAGTCGATTTTTTGACTGATTTTGGAATCGATTAAGTTATCGATTTTTGATCGATGTTTTTATCGATTTTGCTATCGATATTATTATCGCTTTTGTTATCGATATTTTTTCCTTAGTATGTGCTTTCGTTTTTCGCCTGCAGACCAAGACGAAGGCGCTGGACTGTTCCTTTTTAAGTAAATTTGAAGTTTATTTTTATTTATTTATTTTCTTTAGTTAAAATTTGTTAACTTATATGTTGTCATGGTGAAATAATAACAAGATGTTGTCAGTAGCGACGTGTTTGTTGTAATTTTGACAAGATCGGAATGCTTATTTTCAGTGCTGCCGATCTTAATTTTTGTAATGCTATTAGTTGGGAAATAGTTTTTAAAATACTCCATTTTAGTATTTTATTTCATCGCGATTTTTAAAGAACTTGGTGTTTTCAGAACGGTATTAATATTTAAAATTGCTGGATTTGTATAATTTTTGTCCTCAAGATATAAAATATAAAAGATATCGTAGTTATCAATGGAAAAACCCGTACACAAAAATCGTATGTAAAGGCGATTTTTTTTATATTAAATATCTTTTGCTGCACTGTCATAATATCGAGCCAAATGGACTACTGATACACTAGAATAGAGCGGCAGCATGGTGAAATTACGATTTCGCTTATATTATCGATATTTATGTGTTTTAATCTATTTAAAAAATCATTTACAATTTTATGGGAAATTGCCTTATTTTACGGCCTGTACTTTTTTATAAGTTACAATATATGTCCAACCTGTGTGGAGCTGACGATACAAACATATATTCAGGCTTATAAGCCTGTAATTAAGCATTTTTCTACATTTCATTTGAAATAGTATGCACGAACGGATTAAAAGTAGTAAATAATTAGTACTTTTTCTACTACTTTAAAATGCGTGACCGGAATAGACCTGCCGACTCTGCTGACCGAGGGGAGCCTAAAGGTTAATAAATGGAGAGTATCCGACGAAGAGACCCTCTCGGACCACCGTCGAATACTCTTTGAGTTAAATATTGCGGCGGATACGCCTACTCCCTTTAGAAACCCTCGTAAAACAGATTGGGACTTATTTCAAAAGGTTATTGGAAAAGAATTGAAGAAGCTACCAGTTGAAGGCATTCCGGGGCGAGCTGGATGCCAGAGCGGACAGCCTGAATAAGGCCTTCGGAAAGGCCCTTACGAAGGCTTGTCCGCTGAGCTATGGCAAGAAAGCGCGCACACCTTGGTGGAATGACAACCTTACAGAGCTACGGTAGCAAGTAAGAAATCCTTCAACGAATGCTACAGGATTAAGGCATGGGACCTATACAGAGAGAACCTAAAGAAATACAAAAAAGCCATACGGGACGCCAAGGAGGCGTCCTGGTGGGAATTTTGCGAATTCATCGAGGATAACAAGGAATCTGCGAGATTAAGCAAAATCCTTGCCAAAGGGCACCCGCACCCAACATATATAAAAAAGTCAGATGGTTCATGGACCGAGTCGGCTGGGGAGTCGCTGGATATCCTGCTGAATACACATTTTCCAGGGTGCAAACTCGATGTTGTGGAAACCGATGCCCCAGACCATATACCAACCCTCTCCGAGGAGCTCTTAAAGGAGCTACTAGGGAGGAAAAAGATAAAATTTGCTATCTTCAGCTTCTCACCCTATAAATCACCGGGTATGGACGGAATACTATCAGTTATGCTTCAGAAAGCTTCTGAGATGGTCATTCCAGCCCTAGAAACAATTTTTAGAGAGTGCCTAATACTGAACCACGTTCCATTAAGCTGGAGGAAGATTAAGGTCATTTTTATTCCCAAAGTGGGCAAACAGGGCCATGACAATACTAAAGATGTCCAACCAATAAGCCTAATGTCCTTCGTGCTCAAGACGTTTGAGAGGGTATTGGATCTGTATGTTTGGGACAAGACGTCCAATTTATCATGCTCTCAACATGCGTACTTGAAAGGGAAATCAACGGCATGAAGTGGTACGTACAGTTGAGAGTTCGCTCTACTATAAACAATTTACAATGGCGTCCTTTATATACATCGAGGGGCCTTTAATAAAGTCAGCGTAGATTTCATCCATGAGGCACTTATGGAAACAGGGATTGATCACTCTGTCCGGGCTTGGATAGTGTCTCTGCTAAGGAGCAGAGTAATACATGCCGAATTGGGGTACCAAAGCAGGGCCGTATATGCAGTGAGAGGCACCCCACAGGGAGGTGTCCTATCACCGTTACAATGGCTCATGGTCTTAAACAAACTACTGGTAAAGCTGGACTCTCAGATAATCAAAGCGGTGGCTTACGCCGATGATGTTGCGGTACTTGTATCGGGTCAGTTTCCTTCGGTCATAAGTGAAATTATGGAAAGGACCCGGAGAAAACTGACCTTATGCTTTTCACAAATAAAACAAAATTACCAAATTTTAATAAACCAAGGTTCCGAGGAACGGAACTGGATCTGTCAAAGAAGGTTAAATACATTGGAGTTATTTTGGATGCCAAACTTAACTGGAAACCAAACATTGAGGAGCGTGCTAGGAAGGCCACGGTGGCTCTCTATGCAGCCAAGAGAATGTTGGGCAACAGATGGGGTTTGAAACCAAGAATTGTGTACTGGATGTACACAGCTATAGTCCGACCCATAATCTCTTATGCGGCGCTGGTCTGGTTTCCAGCCCTTACTAAGGATTACGTAGTTAAAGAGCTAGGCGGAATTCAAAGGTCAGCAGCCGCTAGCGTAACAGGCGCAATGAGATCCTGACCGAAGGACGTTTTGTGGACGTCCTTTTTGACTTATTACCTATAGATATCTTCAAAGAGAAATCAGCTGCTAACAGCGCCATCAGACTGCGTGCCCTGGGGCTCTGGAAGGAAAGACCGTTCGGGCACGGGTCCATCCTAGACGCAATACCGTCTGAAATTAAAGCGCTGCCCATTGACTATATCCTGTCGAAGACCTGGGTTCACCATAAACCCCGCACGAAATTCCCAAGCCACAGTGACTGGAACCAGGAAGATTTCGGGTACTTGCAGGGCTGAACTGTCTTTACGGATGGGTCAAAGATGGAATGCGGGGTTGGTGCTGGGGTCTTCATTGAGCAATATAACCCAAAATTATCCTCCCGCCTACCAGATTATGCAAGCGTTTTCCAGGCCGAAACGTTTGCTATTAAGGAGGCAGTAAGGTACATCAAAGACAATGTACCCGCGAGAACGCAAGTGAACATCCTCTCGGATAGCCAAGCGGCTATTCAGGCACTTTCCTCTAACCCTGTCACATCTCAGCGAGTGGATGAATGTATGAGAGAGCTGGCCTATATTTCTGATCAATACGAAATTACCCTAATATGGGTCCCGGGACATAGGGGCATCTACGGAAACGAGGCAGCGGACGAACTAGCAAGGAGCGGCTCCGCACTGGATGTGTCCCACGCGGTGCACATGGGCGCCTCGCTCAGGGAGATTAAGACAAAAATTACCGAAATTTATCATTCGAAGGCCAGGCAGAGGTGGAACTGCACAGGATCCTACAGAATTGCCCGGCAGTTCTGGGTGTCCTACGACCCACTCAAAACCAAAGCTCTCTTAGGAATGAGCAAAACAAATGCCTACAAACTTACTGCAGTGTGCACAGTGCAATGGCCCGTTGGGGTACATGCCGAAAGGATAGTACTGCCCTTCAATAGGTTCTGTCGCAGCTGCGATGTCCCAGGCTCAAAAGAGACAGTCGAACACTTGCTGTGCGAGTGTCCAGCCCTCGAAAGGATGAGGATAAAGACACTCGGCAAACCATTCCTGCAGAATATTTCAGAGTGCAGCTGTCTCTCTCTGTATGACGTACTGAAATTTGTTAAAGCCGCCAAATGGCTGTAGGTTGCACGAGTTCTGGAATCAAAATGGCAAACTTGCTAATTGCTTGTCACCTGAGTGACAATCCACTTAAACCAACCAACCAATCAGACCTGCCGAAAAAAGTGAGGTTAAGTTACTGACAACACCTTGTTATTATTACACCATGGTATGTTGTTTTCTGTTTTT